AAAAAACAAGCCTTAAACTTTATAGCAAGCAAGAGAGTATGGAATCATTCCAGGGCAGTTAATGAGAGTTCATAGACTGAAAAGGCTCAAGGGCCATCAGTTTGAGCAGATTAAGCAATTTTGTAGGCAGAGCAACTTCATTAATTTGTTTAAAGTATGAGCATTTAAATAGTTAAGAGGTGTAATAGTCAATGTATTTACTCTATTATACAAAAGTGACCTTTAAGTCTTACTTAGGAAGGCGAGGAAAATTCTAAAATTAAGTGATTTAAGTTGATTTATTAACATATACAAGATTCCAAAGGCTTGAGCGAACAGGTGTACTTATGAAAGTACAAGTAGTTCAATTATCCTTGATTTCTAGTGTCTAAGGAGGTTTGTGAGAGACTGGGTATATTGAGCCAGTTAAAGAACCTTGTTTACCATAGCAGAGACTTTAGAATTCAAATAAGGAATCACTAAAAATACCTTATGCATCAAAGAAACATACAACATTTTTATTTTACAAAGTGGACAGAGGAAGCAGGTTGGAAATATATCAGAAGTAGGTAGTTCTGAAAGAATGCTACTGGGACAATCTTGAGTAAAATTCATCAGAATGGCATATAAGATCATTACAATTGAGTCAAAAGAATGAGACCCATTAAGAAATTACAATAGGATACTTAATGGCTAGTATATTAAGACAAGGAATCCACAAGGATTATGGGACTTCAGATGGAGAAGTTGAAGGGAGGGCAGACAAATAGGAACTCTCTGCTGGAATTTGGGGAAAGTATGGGGGCAGAAAAATCTTAGTTTGTAGTTCCGAAGTGCCAGTTACCCTTAGATTCCACTCTTGAATTGCCATTTATTGTCATGGGACACAGGAGGGTTTACTTAATTCTTTTATTTCTCAGTTTCCACAAATGTAAAATGGAGATCATGTTTATCTTATAGGTTACTATGAGTTAGTTGCCTGTGCACCTTATCCTCCTGGGTAGTTAGGATTATAAATACAAGTCCCTACCACCTGGTTTATTGTGAGTTTTAAGTAGATTTATGCATCTCATTACTGATAACATATCCCCCTTCATAATTTCAGCTCAAACTGAGTTCATTCTCATAACTTGAAACCATTCACCTTTTGTCTAGTAAGTTTTGGCTTTACTATAATCTATAATTGTATTTGTCCTGGCTAACTGCACCACACTCTTTATCTCCTTAACGCGTCACACTTTCCAGCTTGTATTCATTCCAGAGTCAATCCTTATCATCACTGCTATGCAAAGAAACCTCTGCTCCAAAGCTTCCCTTTCTTCATCATGATTGAAAATGCACAATGTCTAATGAGACTGTATGTGTGTGCTGTGCCTGTTTTCTATCTAGAGCTGGAACTTAGCTGGAGACATATAGCTGAAATAGACTGCTTGAATCTTTCTAAGACTGTTCTAAATCCATGATGATTAAATAGAGGTTGCTATTCCCTAGTGCTCAGCTCAGGGGTGTATTCCCTTTGTCCTTTCGTTTCCCCCTTCCCTAGGTGACTGCTGTGTATTTGAATTGTCACACTTCTAACTTTCTTAAGCATCCTAAGTGTCAGCCAGTGACCCCCCCAACTTCCTGTGTTGCTCTAGAAGTAGCAGTGGCGAGTCATTTTTCCCCCTACCTTGCCCTCTCATCATAACAATTAAATTGTACTTCTCAAAATATAAGCCTGGTCATTCTCTTCTGGTCAAAATCCATGAATGGTTTTCTACCTCATTCCAAATAAAAGCTAAATATCTTATACTATCTGAAGTTGCCTTAAACAATATGGAAATCAGTGAAGTCTTTGACCTTCTCCTGTACAATTTGGACAGCCACTAATTTCCTCAATTTCTGATTGTACTCACACGGCAGCCTATGTCTCCTGACATTACAGTCTGTGTCTTTTCTAGTTCCTCTCTACTCCTTCATCCTCATTTATCTCTTCGGTGAACTTTTCTTGAATGTCTTTTTGGTAATTTCAACCTTAGGTTTTCTTTTCTTTGCCTGTTTTAATTTTGCCCTTTACATTGAAATACAACCAGTATTTTTGATTGGATAATTGGTAAAGTATATATAACAACATTTTGATATTGTTAAATAGATATACATGGAAACATATTTTGAACTGACATTCTGCATTAGTAGGCCTCACAGACCAGCCCAAATAAACAATGGAGTTTTTCCTGTTAAGTGCCATTTAAACTGAAAATGTGAAGGAAACAGACCTTTGCTTTCCTAAAAGGGAAATCTAGTTTATGTAAATCAATATCATAAGGAAGCTCCTTCTGCTTCATTTCTTATTTAAAAAGCAACTAGATGATAACCAACCAGCATCTTTTCTTCTTTTCTTCCATTTGTTTCCCTGTTCACACTTCACAAAATCCGCTGCTCTGCTAAGGCCCAATGAGAGTTCTCATTTTATTTTGCAAAATGGAGGCTGCATTGATTCGTGAATCACAGATAAAGGCTAATCAGGTTGTTGTAGGCTAATTTGTTGTTATAATTTCATTCTTTAGAAACATACATATGTAATATAGAATGATTTCTAGAGTCAAGAAAATTAACATATTTTTCTGTCGAAAAGTTAACATTTATTTGATGTGGTAACAGCCTCAGAGTCTAATCTTCTGGCAAATTTCCAGTGTATAATACAATATTATAAATTAGAGTCACCATTCTATATACTAGATCTCTAATTTGTCCTGTGTAATTAGAACTTTATATGCTTTGGGTATATTCCTTTCCTTGCTTGCCAAGAATTAGGGACCACCATTCTATCACTATATATTTAACTTCAACTAGGTCTTAATTAATTTACTTATATTTATTATTGTGTCATTTACCCCACTGAAGTGTAAAAATCTATAAAGCTAAACATTTGTTTTTACATTTTCCATTGAGTTTTGTTTTTTTTTTGGTTGGTGTGGGGCTTGAACTCAGGGCCTGGGTGTTTCCCCTGAGCTTTTAAATGGCTCAAGATTAGCACTATACCACTTTCAGCCATAGCACCACTTCAGGTTTTCTCAGGTTAACTGGAGATAAGAGTCTCAAGGACATTCCTTCCCAGGCTGGCTTCGAGCCAAGATCCTCAGATCTCAGCCTCCTGAATCCTATAGGATTATATGTGTGGTGCCCAGCACATTTTACTATTTAATTTCCATACTAATTGCAAATACTAAACATTCAATTAATGTTCATTGTATTAATTACTTAATATTTTGGTCCAGATTATAGTTCTGATATACATAACAGTGTCTAGTTTAGTATATGTGTTCAGAATATAAGATTACTCATTGTAACATAAACTATTTACACAAGATTCCATTGGGATGAAAGTTAGAAGTGTAAAGCTGTGATTAGAAAAGCTAGACTAAAGAATGCACTGACACTGCCTAAGAAAGACACTAAGCAAAATATCCAAAAGAAAGAATGTGCAATATGACAGAAGCAAGTTAAATGTTGACATTTTTGAAGATGAAATGGTCACTAATTGTCAAATACTTTGGAGAAGAGAGGACTAAATAAACACAAACATTAGCATGGAAACCATGATTAACATCTGAGGAATATGAAAGATGATACTCAAACTTGAGAACCAGAAGGATCTAAATGTAGCAAGGGTTTGCAAGACTGTTACAGTAAACAGTAATAACATAATGAATTCCTTCTGTTTTTGAGTTTGTGTGGCCACAAATAGACAGGGGTATCTACTAACCAGAGTGTCAATATACAATTGCAAGTAAGATGGCATTGCATATTTAATCTTACGGTTAAAATCTGAGATTAACAATTCATCTAAAAGAGAAAGTTTCCTCATATTTTTAAGGATGAATAAACATAAGGTAACTTAGTTAAAATGTGTAAATAATGTAAACATTTTAGAGATCTTTCCTCTTTAAGTAGCTCTTTAAAGACATAAAACAACAATAAAGTAGCCTAAAAATGTATCATTTTTATTATTCTTAAGTAAACTCCTTAAAACTTCCTTAATTAACCTCTTTACATGAAGAAAGGAAATTTAGAATTACTTATTACTATTCTCTTCAATATGGAAGTATCTTCTTTTCCTCTATTTCTATACTTTGAAAAAATAAAGCATTTTTTTCAAGTAACTTTTAAATAAATTCATGTAAAATACAACCAGCATTTTACAGATAATTACAAAATGAATCATAAGTGGTACAAATTGAGTAATTTGATTAATTTCTAGGTTGACCTTTACAAAAGTATTTGTCTAACATCTCTCAGTTGTTACTTATTTTTTCTGCAGTAAACCATAAACCAGACATTGAATTTCCATATTGTGTTAAAAATGAGAACCATGTCATAGACATAAAATAGTTTTGCAAAATAACTAGCATAGTGGAAACAATTTACATTTTGAAAATAATGTTGAATATTTGAATATTTACTATTCTTATTGAGGTAAATTCTCAAGTTAACTTCCCTCATGCATTTCCAGTTCTGTATTCATAGAGTAATTAATTTACAGGTAGTTAAATTTATTGTTCAATTAAAAAATAACAGCTAATGGTGGGGAATAGCATTTTTCAAGGTTGGTGCCATCATTTTAGGCAGCCTATGACCTAACTAAGACACCTCAACACGGTAGATATATAATGTGCAACCCTGGCAAAATTGCCCATAAGAGTAACTTCATTATTCTGGGAAGCTAGACCAATAAAGCATATGAAATGTATATGCCCTGTCCATACAGTTTCTGGTAAGTACAGTTTGACTAAGTGATAAAATCTGAGTCTGCCTCAGTGAAAGCATACCTTCCTTTACTACAGAGTAACTTGTGATGTAAAGGAAAAAGGAAATACAGTGAGCAAAGTTGCTCTGCTCTGAAGTAATGATGTAGTTTGGGTCTATGTAGTTCTGCCTTGATTTATGGGGAAAAAAATCACTTCTGGAAGCATTTAGTGCAATAGAGTACTAATTAGGCAGAGCATCCTCAAGTTACAGCAGAATGATAAGGGAAAACTCACCAGTACCACTGGACAGATTGTTGTGGGTGGTAAAATATGGTCCTTCAAAGGCCCACAGTCACATTCAGGTTTCAGATGAGAAGCACATTTGTTATGCAGCTAGAAGAAGAGAAAGGGGGTAACATCAAATTCTATACAACAACAAACAAAGGCAGATGATATTTCAACTGAGAGATAGCAATACATATAAAAGTACATTAAAAAGAATTTCAAGAATAAGTAACAGGATCTTGAAGGGATTTTCATTATGTTTTCCACCTTAAATTACATATTAAGCCACTTTCTTGGCACAGCCTATGTATTTCTCAATTCTCAAACATTTTTATATTAAAAATGTACACTAAGGAAGCCTGATTTCTTTGACAAACACAAATTCTTGTCCATTGCAGTCCATTGCTTGTCTCTTGACATTATCTTGAAACCACTGTGCACTGTGGATGATTTTTTTTTGACCCTCCTGTTTTCTCAAAGTCATTCCAAAGTGCACAGCTCAGTATGGGGCATAATTGATCCCATCATTAGTTTTAACTTTGTAATTCAATATGTAAATGTAACCCGAGATTCATCTCAGTAGGAGCAGGATATAAATAAAAGAAGATGATTATGATTATAAAATTTTATCTTTATATTGTATTTATTAGCCTGACAAAAGTTAGCATATAATCATATAATGTGCTATTTATTTTTACAGTATGTTGGAAGCTAAACTGGTATTTTTTATCCACATTGATCAATTTAAAGTAAGGTGTGATGACGTTGTGGATGGAGTAGTATTTTTTAAGCTATAGTGGTAATTTTTATTGGAATCACATAAATTTGATATAAAAAAGAAATGCTTAAAGGTATGTAGGCATTTCTAGGAATTTCTTCTTCTTTCACTCAATGTCAACTTAATGCAAATTATTCATACTGTAGGAAAATTAAATATTTGAATAGGCAATGGGTCTTATTTAAAACAATAACAACAACAGAAGCAGCACTATTCCATCGCCCTTACCTATTCAAGCCTTGACTGTCTTAACTTACCTTCATAAGCAGTTCATTACCAACCAAGCATAAATGTCTGAGTGTTAATTTACTCTTGGTGATGGAACTGTAGTGAAGAGGTATTTCCCTGGTCTTAGAATTACACTACCTTCCTACCTCAGATTTCCTTCTGTATGTATTATAATTCATGTAAATTAGGCTGCATTATATAAAATAAAAATACCTACTTTATATGCTTCACAGAAGCACATAAACTTTGTTTTTAATGATTTTTTATTATCAAGTACAGAAGGGTTACAGTTAAATAAGTTGATAAGTACATTTCTTGTCAAACTTATTACCTCTTCCCTCATTTTTCTCCTACTTTCCCTCATCCCACCTTCCAAGTTGTCATATAAATGTCTTTATATTCAAAAAAGGTGTGGCTCAACCATCTTATTACTTCATCAAAATAACATTATTTTAAAAGATTTCAGTAGTTCATTGGACTTTAAATAAATTGTAGTCATAAATCTTTGCATTTAAAATGCTATAGGATGAATGGGGTCCCCGAAAAACTGATATGTCCAAGTCTTAACTCTTGATAAGGGAGAATAAATAAACTGGTCTTGAAATAAGATCTTGGTAAATGCATTCAAGATAAAGTCATCCTGGATTATGTTTGGCCTTATTGAATCTTTTTAAAAAGAAAGAAATCTGAACAGAGAGATACAGACCAAAAGGAGAGAAGGCCTGATAACAACAGCAGAGACAGATATCATCAAGGAGTGCTGAGTCCCTGGAAGCTAGGCAAAGGCAAAAGACTTTTCTTTCAAGCTTCAGAGGGAGTATCCTGACTTTTATTGTGTGGTTAGACTCCAGTGTTATGACAATATATTTCAGCTTTTTAATTTTTTTTATTCTTATTTATTTAGTCCTGGGGCTTGAACTCTGGATCTAGGCATTGTCCCTTAGCTTCTTTCATTGCTCAAGGTTAGTGCTCTATCATTTGAGCAACAGCTGCACTTCACAGCGTTTTTGAGTAGTTTATTGGAGATAAAAGTCTCACAGACATTCCTGCCTACCTGGCTTTGAACCATCATTCTCAGATCTCAGCCTCCTGAGTAGTTAGCTAGGATTAAAGGTATAAGCCACTGGAACCTGGCTTTAATTACTTAATTTCTGTCTTTTTGTTTAAAAAGCTCTAGAAAACCAACACACTAAGCACTATGAAAGCTAAATTAGGAGCAGAGGTAAATGTACTTAATATGGTTGTCACAGCGATAAAGAGTTTGATAAAATTAATTATGCACATTATTTTGTTTTTTTGGGTCCGGTTGTGGGGCCTGAACTCTGGGCCTGGGCGCTGTCCCTCAGCTCTTCAGCTCAAGGCTAGCACTCTACCACTTGAGCCACAGCACCACTTCCGGCTTTTTTCTTTTTGCTTATGTGGTGCTGAGGAATCGAACCCAGGGCCTCAGGCATGCAAAGCAAGTGCTCTACCACTGAGCCACCTTCCCAGCCCTATGCACATTATTTTAAAATAGGCAATGCAAGTTCTAAGAACTCTTCGGAAGTGGCAAAATAAGAGATGAAAATCTCTATGGGTTGAGAAAGAGAGAGAGAGAGAGAGAGAATTGAATTTTTAATTTTTAATTTCGATGACACCTCAAAGCCACACATGACAGCAGTACCCACAAATACCTCAGGCTCTTTTGTGACTCCACTCCATGCATCTGCAACATGAATAATAAATGAAATTATCACTTTACTCCATGTTTAGGAAAGAATTGAGGGCTCAGAATCATGCAGTTGGTAAGGTGACCAGACTATATGTTAGGGTATAACTGTTCATGTCAGTATTGTAGGGATTCAGAGTTCAAGAGCTCACAATAGAGTCCATGAAACACTAGCCTCTGTTGGGCTAAAGTCATTTATATTTTCAATGAGAGGTACTAGGTGATACAGGAACAATTACATAATAGGCTTACAAAGAACTAAATAAGACCAGATGGAATTTTCCAGTTTGGTTGTCACCATGTTCCATACCCTGAGTTCTATGTGGGTGGGTGTAGGAATGTCAACAAAGAGTTGGGTCTGTAAGATCAAAAAACCCACATTATCTTCAATGGAACTGAGACACACAATGAAAGGAAATTCTCTGGAAGAAAAGATCAAGAAATATCTGATGCTTTCATTAAAAATCTAGCTGATGATTTCATTCGAAATCTAGCAGCTAGCAACTATATTGGAAAGACTTTATGTCAAAGTAGAGGCGGTATGTTGACAGCACTGACATTCTAGAAACTTGAAGGCAAATGTGCACAGTAGATGTAGCTAACATGTCATATCGCTCAAGAGACATACTTGACAATGAAACAGAGGATCTGAAAACCAACGAGGAGATGTGTGTCCCTGAAGTCATCATGTGTATGTATCAAGAATAAAAGTGAGCATCATTCTTGTATCACTCTTGCTGTGCACTTAAAATTGCTCTAAAGAATAAAATCTATTTCTAAAAGCAAATATCCACAAAATTAAAAATAGAATTAAAAATAATAGTACATTTTCTTTAGATTGTTATAATATTTTATTTTTCTTATCAGGTACTGTTTATGTGGAACTCTTCACCCTAATCCTATGGTAATTTTCTGCATTCATGTTATCTTTCAATAACATGATGGGGAAAAGAGTGAAAATCATTAACAGAGACAAGCTGCTGACGTTGGTACCTTGACTTGAGTGTGGTCCTCCAATTTCATGTGTTAGAAACGTATCCCCCAAACTTGTTGGAAACAGTACCTTCATGGTACAATTGAGAATTGGAGATGAGATCTTCAGGGTATAGTTGGAATTAGATGAGCTTATGAGGAAGAGCCCCCTGTAATGAGATTAGTGCTCTCACCAAAAGACCAAAAGTGATCAGCACATCTGCTGCATTGCCATGTAATGCCTTTTGCTGAGGCAGAATGTAGCAGGTATGTTCCTCCAACATGAGACTTCTCAGCCTTTAGAATATAAGAAAATATCTCTTTTTGCTATAGATTACCCAATCTCTGATATTTTATTGTAGCCAAACAAAATGAATTAAGACAACTTAACACCATGTCATTTCATAGACAAGAAATTGAGAAAAAGGTATAGTGAAATTGAGAAAAAGGTATAGTGAATTTGCTCAGTGTGAATGAATGCTGAAGATAGATTGTATGTTGAAGGTAACCTAAGTCAACGACCACTTAAATACAAGATTCTTAATACAAGTAGAGATAAAGCAGAACACTGATGATTCCCACCTTGTGAGCAAAATAACCAATGACATAAAGTTTATTTTTTAAATGCCGCTCACAATTAGTGTTGCATTTCCTTTTTACAGTAAGACAGAATTACTTAGATTATTACTTCTATCGGTCTAGAAATTGTCATTCAGTTCAGAATCTAGGAAAATCATATAATGTGAACCAGTTATTCCTGGAAGTGAATAACTTGGAAATAATTTCAGAGTTTATAAAAGCTCCCAGTAGCACCTAATTTAGAGCCAAATCTATGTTTACTGCAAAAATCTGTCTCATGTTTGGGAGAAAAAGAGGGTGTATGTGTGTGGGAAGTGTGTGTGATTTTGGGGTGGGGTAGAGAAAAAAATGAATGTACTGGAATCTATTGGTGAGAAATTGAACATTAGAATTAGAGAAATAAATAAGTGGGAGAAAGAAGCTTCTGAAGGATTGTATCACTATTCATGCATTCCCTGGTCTATAATACTTCATACATTTGAGATATATTCTTAATACTGGCATTCACTAAAGCATACACATGTCTATGGCTTTCCAAACTTGTCAGCACATGTTTAGGAAATTGGTACTTCCAGAAAAAGGGTGTTCTTATATGATACTAGAAATTAGTAATTAACACTTTAAAATACACATTCTCTTGATAAGTCCAAATAAAATGTATTAACCTCCCATCCTGGTAATTTTTATCTAACGAACCTTTATCTATCTCAGTGTGGGAGAGCTCACAACACTGTCTAATGGAAAGTCAGGGAAATATACTTAGCAGAAATACTCAGGATGAACAGTGGAGTCAAAAGGATGCAGAATGAAAGAAAGCAGGAGAAGGAGAGGAGAGTCACAGAGAATGTTTTGCTTGGCTCAAAGTATTAAAATAAAAAGTACAAAAAGTAGTTCTGTAAATGGAAGGAGATGGTTAACCATTGTACTTATTCACGACTTTCCTGTTTTAACTCTTGAGTAGTTAAATTTATAAAAGGAGATAAACTTTAAGATCTTAGCTACCTATCTACAAGGTAGAGAGTTACTATAATGCCATATGCAAACACTACAATGACTGAATGAAACACGAGTGTGAAAATGTTTTATTTGCTTATCTTAATTGCCTAACAATGTATATTTAAGTATGATTCAATGATATTTTCAAAAATTGAAATGGGATCCATGGTTGAGATTCCATATTTAATAGTAGGAAAGATAATATATCAGCCACTGAAGTGATTTAATTGAGGATTTACTTTAAATTCAGGACTCTGTCAACTCCTAGTGATGGGGAGAAAGATGTGTTCCATCAACCTGCAGCTGGAGCAGACTGCAGTCAGTCCAGCAGTATAAAAAAAGTTAGCAGGAAACAGTAAACTATTGGAGAAGAATTTAGTTAATCCCTTGCTTGACAAACAAAATAGAGGGTAGGAAGGAATACTAAAAAGAGGAATTATTAGCATCAAGGAAAACCTCGAGAAAGGCATAGAACTTTGTTCCTGAGATTCAGGAAGAATGTAAGGCCGGTGGATTCATGTGATCTTCCTGTACCATAGCCAGCAGACATGCCTTGTTGAAGAGACTGTGGGAAAGGAACTCCTGTAGACTGGGCTCATGTTCAGTCTGTCTTGAGAAGCAAAAATGAAGTTAAAACAAGGCAGTATTGAGGGCTGAGTTTATCATTACAGAACTATCATAGGTTTGCTGAAAAATTAGTATTTTTGGAAGATTATTTTGGAGGTAGTGTGAAGCCTGCATTATAGAGAAAGTACCTTCTGTCAAGGAAAGAAGCCAAGAGATTTTGACTCTAATCTAGGCAGGAGGTGCTAAAAGTTTACACTGGGGTTGTGAATGTGGAGACAAAAACCCAGATCTGGGAGAGAAAGTTTTGAAAGGATAACTCAAGCAATGGTATAAGTGAGATGTGAAGGCACAAGACAAGAGTAAAAGATATTCACTTCTATTTCAAAAGTCAGCTGTCGATTGTAAGTGGCTGGCAACATTTACCATGTGTGATAAAGAAGACTTTTAGTATTTATACTTTGTGAATATAAATTGACCACACTGGCTGACAATTGGATGACATTCAGGGCCACAAAATTCTGGATGCCTTAGTATTGCAGATGCTGTTCTGACTTAGACTGGTCAGATCTTTCCAGAGGCAACACAGAAAGAGGATGATGACTCACCACGCTGGCGTTGGGCACCCATATGGCATCTCACATACCACACATGTACATGAATGTTATTACTGAGAATACACTGATAAGATGTCCTTTCTTAATGCATCCACACAGATTTTTTAAATCTGTTTATAACAATCCTATAATAGGTCACATGAACTTGACATTAGAAAGTAAAACATTAGCCAACATTTGCTGTATATGAGGGGTCAAAATGATTACACTAATAAGTGGTAGAGATGATCTTATAGTCTGGTTGTACCCAGGTGCCAGTAGCTCACACCTGTACTCCTAGTTATTCAAGAGGCTGAGATTTGACGATTGAAGATCAAAGCAATCCAGGGTAGGAAAGTTCATGAGGTTCTTATCTTCAATTAACCACAAAGAAAGCTGGAAATGAAGGTGTAGCTCATCTAGCAGAGTGCTAGACTCCAGCAAGAAACCTCAGAGACAGCACAACTCTAGAATACACACATACTCACACACACACACACACACACACACACACACACACACACACACACACACACACACTCTGCTTCTCTTGAAAAAATCATAAGCAAAACAATAGTACAGAGTTGGGAAAAACCTTGACATCAAACCAGGCTTCATTTTCTGTTCTTTCCACAATCAAACTCCTGATGGAATCCATTCAGAAATGTCTCCTGAAGTCACCATTGACTGTGTTGTATGCCACCAAGATGGCAATCAAGTAACCTTGCATCAACCAACATTACTTTTAGAACAGCATGAGAATAAGATGCAGTTCCTCGGGAGCCATTTTTCAAGACCAAATCATTTTATATTAAAATTTAATACAATAGCGCTAGAGAAAAAAAAAAACTCCGAAAACTCGGAACGCATGAATATTTTGAAGTAAATGTATTCTGTGTCACCCAGGTACCAAATCAGTATATTAAAAAATTATACAAATAGAAAAGTGGTTTGAAAAACAAAGAAGAGAGGAATTCTGATATTTTTTAAATCGCAGATTATGTTAAAATTAAGAGGTAGCTAGTCAAAGATGAACTCTGGAAAAGCAAGAAGTATACTTCCTACAAGAACAGGAAAGCATTTCTTCATGGTTTATTGGTGATCCTTCTTTCCTCTTCAGAGAAATTTCTCTTTTAAGTCTTCAGCCCACTTATTTATTGGACAGTTGTTTCTTTGAGGATTCATTGTTGGGGAATTTAATCTTTTGAGTTTCAGGTATATTTTAGATATGAGACCCTTGTCCATTGTATGGCTAGTGAAGATCTTCTCCCAATCGTGGGCTTTCTATTGTGTAGTTATGGAGATCAGAGGAAAGGGATGGTAGGGAAAAACAAAGGAGAAGGCAACAATGCTTGATAAGAAATGTACTCATTACCTTGCTCATGTAACTGTAACCCTCTGTATAGTATTTTCACAATAAAAAACTTATTTATAAAAAGAACTTGAAATAAATGTTATTTTGTCAACAATGAACAAAAATCCAAACTTTAATATATTTTTTATAAAAAGAAATTGTGGTCTTCTTATAACTGAGAATCCAGTATGTTTGAGTAATTCATGTTTAATTTAAATCATTGTTAGACATTTTATTGCAATAATCAAACACTTCAGAAACTAAAGCTCTCTTTTCATAATTGAGAAAAATTTCCAAATGGAAATGTAATTTAAATGAGTAATAACTGAATGTGATTGAAGAAAGTTTGTTCATTTTTCCAAAATGTACTTAATTATATTTTTGAAATGTCAGTTTTTTTCCTTATTATGTGTGTGTATGTGTGTGTATGTGCGCACACACGTGCATATTAAGAATGTTGTTTAACCTGTGGATTGATTGTGGAACATTGAACTAATACTGAGTAACTAATCTGCTTAACTATTCAGTGCCCCCTGCTGTTTTATTCTGACCAAAGAAAGAATATTAGTCCTACACTAGAGTACTAATACTTTGTGTTTAAAAAAGGCAAAAAGGCAGGTAAAGAGAGAGAGGAAGGAAGAACAGAAAAAAAGAAAGAAGGAAAGAAAGAAAGAGAGAGATAGAAATGAAAGAGAGAAAGCAAGCAAGAAAGCAAGAAAGCAAGGAAGGAAGGAAGGAAGGAAAGAAAGAAAGAAGGAAAGAAGGAAGGAAGGAAGGAAGAAAGAAAAAGAAAGAAAGAAAGAAAGAAAGAAAGAGAAATGGAAGGAGGGGGAGAGAGGGAGGAAAGAAAGGAAAGAAGGAAAAGGAAGGAAAGAAGAAAGGAAGGAAAGGAGGGAAAGAAAGAAGCATAGTAGCAAAACTCTATATTCTGATTAACATTTTCGCACTCCATTATCAAAAATAACTGTGCTACAAAATCTATATTTTCTAGAAACTAAAGAAGAAACTATGGAAATATCTAGTTACTGCGTGTATTTCAAAAAAAAATATTTGTTGTGATTTTACATTCACCAAAACCTATTGAAGTCCTAGCGTTTCCTGTGAAAAGCTAATTTATTTCTCCTTTCTTCATTGTCCATAATCCTAAAAGTGAATATTTACACTGAAATCTTTTATTTCTCAATTTCAGATTTAATTGTTGGAGCAGTGTAGCCACAAAGTGGGATAAACTGTTAGATGCACATTTAGAAGCATCAGGACCTAAGATACAGACTTCATTTCTTTGCCTATTTTGAGCTGAGCCCTTTAATTGGCCTCCCTAAGAATGTCCTGAGCATCATGTCACAACTATCTGGTGGTTTTGCCATCACTGTTGACAACGGTTTTGTGCTTCTGGATCTATGACAACAAATCTGAGCCTCTGTATCTATCCTTGAAGGCCAGATGAAGTTAGAAGCTTCAGTCACTCAACAGTATTGATGCTAATATCCAGGAAACGTTTCTATGCTATCAGGACTGTCAGACAGCAGCCGAGGAGAATGCATTTGCACACGTTACTCACTGTGATCTGACACCACACACAGTGTAGTCCTGTCAGCCCCTGGTAACATTTCACTGTTTTGTGGCACTTATCACACTTGGTCGGGCAGTTGCCTTCAACCCAGTAATGGTGCATGACCTGGAACAGAACAGCAGTACTGTGGTAAGAGAAGGCATCTCTATGCACACCGTCAGAAAGCAAGCAGAGCCCACACACTTACATCTGTGTTCTTTTTGGACTTCACATAGGTCTTGATGCAAGAAGAAGGGGCTCTAGCCACACAGCGTTCGTGGACTGTGTATTTACAGACTGAAAAGAAACAGGTACACAAATTCAGAGAGAATCCTGGTCCGGACTGTAATTTTCTAAGGAAAGAATGACATTAACAGAACCTCATTTCATAGCTACTGCTCCCTAATCAATCCAATCAGCCACATCAAGGAAAAGTCCAAGTAGACTGTTTTTTTCTTATTTTTTTGCCATGGAATACAAAAAGCCAATTAGGACAGGAAATATTATGCATGTGAACAACCAAGACTCCTCTATCATAGCATAGCAGGAAATGCTTAATTAAATCAGTCTTCACTCGATTTTTTCACAATAATTCCCAGATGACAAAAATATTAAAAACAAATTGATGAGTGCCAAATGGTGTGGTGTCATTTGCTAGAAAGAAAAGAACTATATTTTGCAAAGTACAGGCATGGCAGTGGCTAGTAAACATGGATATATGAGTTTATGATATTTTGTCTATTGATTTATCTAAGCCTTAAATGGCTGATTGCTCTGTTTCTAGAGAATAGAATCCATTGTACATGCCAGGTCTTCAGGAAATGTTCATCTTTCATTTTACATTATGGCATTGTTTCCCCAAACAACAATCTTTACAAGGCGACATATGGCTTGCATAAGCAAAATGTTATATACAAACATGGAGATGTACAAGCAAATATATATGTTTGTGTATACACAGAATCTGTGCCATAAAATTAAGACATATATTTTTTGGTGTCTTCATGTTTTTTCATCGTTAGAATCTCAATAAAATTAGGAGTCACATATAGGTATTGATTTAAAAAAGTGTAGTATCGAAACTGAGAGTTTTATATTCATAAAGTTAATGTTTGTGTCTGTATGTGTCTGTGTGTGCATGAATGCACATACTATCCAGTATCTGCTTGAATTCAGGACCTTCTACTCTCACTCACTTGTTTTGCTCATTACTGGTACTGGAGACACACCTCCATCCTGAATTTTGCTGGTTAATTGGAGATGGATTCTCTGAGACATTTTTTCTTAGGCTGACTTTCTAAAGTGAGTCTCAGATCTCAGCCTTCTAGGTGATTAGGATTACACCTAGCTCATAATAAGATTTAGCTAACACTAAGTGAAAATGATACTTCCTGATCTATTAATGAAAACATTGTATCTACACTATTTAAAATGTTATCTACACTCTAAAAAATTTCACATCTATGAGTTTCCTTTCCTTTTTCCTTGTGGCAAGGTTGAGGAGGAAAATGTATCTCTGTATTTCTATGTTAATAATAATGTATAGACTATTTCATTCATTGCAATAGTTGATAAAAATTGTGAACAATTACATAAGATATCATTCACTCGTTTGAGAGATATTTTGTTTCACATGCTCTTATCAACAGAATCTACCAGAAAATGTTTCCTTACTTTTAAACTAAGTCATAGAATTTTAAAAATACTATGTCCATGGAATATGTCATATTGTAACTGGCCTTTTGAATATGGCCATGGGCAACCTGTTTCTAACATGATGTGTGGCAAATTTTGTAAACTCTTAAGACATTGCATATATCACAGTAAAATATATTTATTTTAATGTCAGGTAAATACATCTTGGAGGTGTCTTATTAGAGAAAGAAAAATCCCCATATTAATAATGAAAGTATTAGATGAAAAAGAAACTCTGAAAACCACATGCCATATGGAACTCACATTTAAAAATTAGATTTCGTTAAATAAAAAATTAGACATGTCTAATAATCTTGATATTCATTGGGTACCAGTGGCTCATGAATATAGTCCTAGCTACTCAGGAGGCTGAAATTTCAGGAGTAAGACTTCAAGCCAGCCCAGGAAGAAAAGTCGGTAATACTCTTATCTCCACTTAGATACCAAGGTTGGCATTGTATGACTTGAAACTGTGGCTGAAGTGATAGAATGCCAGCCATGAGTGAAAAGCCAAGCAAGAGCGCAAGGCTCTCAGTCCTGGCACAAACAACAAAACAAAACAAAACAGCAAAGACAAAAGAAAACTTCACAAATTAATCACTTCATTCATAGCAGAAAAAGAGTGGAATAATTCCTGGGTTCGTGGAGACCCACAGCCTTGGTGAATAAGGGATGGCTTATTCTCTACATACTCTAGCAGATCATTTGGGAATATAAATTACTTTTAAATACACCACAGGTGGAAAAATACTTAGTTGATTTTATAAATTACCTGTTGCATACTATGTTAGAAAATCCTAACTGGATTATTAAAAAATAAAACAAAACTTGCAAAAATACATGAACTGAAATTATTAAAACAACTTACAAATCATTAGTGCCTTGGATTTCAATATTTGTAACTGGATATAAATGAAAGTCCATTTTTACTCTATTGAGACTGTGTGTGTGTGTGTGTGTGTGTGTGTGTGTGTGTGTGTGTGTTTGTGTGTGTGTCAGTCCTGGGGCTTGAACTCAGGGCCTGGGGCACTGCCCCTGAGCTTCTATCTCTGGAAACACAGCTCCACACTACTCCAGTTTTTTTTCGGGGGGCTAGGCGGGGGAGTGGTAGTTTATTGGCGATAAGAGTCTTCAGGACTTTCCTGCTTGGTCTGGCTTTGAACCACAATCCTTGATCTCAGCCTCCTGAGTAGCTGTAGGTGTGGGACACTGGAGTTGGGATCACTTGACACAAAATTAAAGATTTGGGGTATTTGATTTATGATAGTTAAATCCTCCTGAATAAAGGAGGTGGCATAGACTATAAAACAATCTAAATGAGATACAAATGAGAAACTAGTTGAAAATTTCAAAATAATCCATGAATCTACTACCAATTCCAGTAAACGACGGAAGTAAATGGTGAAAGAATTAGCAAGGGTGTTTCTTTGTCAAAGGAATCATTTCCCCAAGCTAGGGAAAGACAGGTAAAGTTAGAGCAACCTAAGCAATCTGAAACTCCTGGGGAACTGAAATCCCAGAATAGGCAGTGTCTGGAGGGTTTCTGAAACCTCTGTCTCCAGAGAGGCCTATGCCTGGCAGGAGCCTTTCCTGGGGAGCAGTGGGGTGCGGACACTCACAGGAGCAGCAGAGGCCCTGCTTGCCCACGCCGATCAGCATGTTCAGGCAAAGGTTGCAGTAGGCAGGTTTGTTAAAATGCTTGAGTCGCCACACGTGCTGTCCGTCATCCTTCACATTCTGCAGGAGACGTAAGGGAAACAGATTTCACTTAATGAAATCAACAGTAGAAGATGGAAGTGCCAATTAAATTCAGAGCTGGACTGAAGCACTCGAAGACAATCTGTTATTTCATCTCTTAGGCTCCAAGATCGCCACCCAGTCTTCGGAAAAACACGCGTGTGCTGCTGGAATGAGATAGTGCTAACCAAGCTCGGATGCGATAGCAACCCGCAAGTTCTTGCCTGATGTGAATGGTTCCAACAACCTCCCCCAAACTATCAGAATGACCCACAATAGGCCATGTCTGCCTTGCATTTTGACACTCGATGCTCAGCAGGATTACGTGGACAAATGCCTAAAGACACACAGAGAAATGACTCCCGTGGAAGCGTTTGAGGAATGAAAATGCGCAAGACTGTTGATACTTGCTCAGTAATAGAAATATGCAGCATTCAGAATGGTGGCGATTTAGGTCTCCTAAGAAGTTAGAGCAATGGCCTGGACTGTGAAAAACAACATTTTCAAATAAACTATGATGATATTCCAAGTCTTCCTTTCCATATTCCTAATGTTATCATTTAAAATAGTATAATATAAAAAATAACAAATTTTAATAAATACTGAAGGGTCTATTTGCATTCCCACTGTTATAATTGCTCTTTCATAAAATATGAATTTTATTCTCATGGAAAGATGGTAAAAGATTGAAAACATATTACTATATTTATAAAAATCTCTATACTGATTTACCAAACTAGAACCTTGACTTTAAATTCATTCACGATTTTTATTGACACTACTATAATTGTTGTTTACTACTCTAAGTTCTATATAACAGTTACTTCTCTTGTGGATGTTTACTCATATCTGTATAGTTCTAGATTAGAATAAGGGGCAGGGAAGGTGGCTCAGTGGTAGAGTGCTTCCCTTGCATGCATGAGGCTCTGGGTTTGATTCCTCAGCACCATAGATGCAGAAAAAGCTGGAAGTGGTGCTATGACTCAAGTGGTAGAGTGCTAGCCTTGAACTAAAGAGCTCAGGGACAGCGCCCAAACCCAGAGTTCAGGCCCCATGACTGACCAAAAAAAATAAATAAATAAATAAATAAAATAAAAAGAAATATATGTAGTTAATGAACTTTGAGCTGCTTACAAGATCAAATATAACATGCACTTAGAATGTATCATTATTTTTGTTAACCTTGTTTTCTTCATTAAGATGTTGCCCTCATTTTTTAGCCTTATTTTCTCTCTTTTGCTTTCCATTTACCAATTTTCAGGAAACTTAATTGCAACCATCATTCATTGGCATTCAATCAACAGTAGTATACTTTGTGACTTTTCAGAAAGACCAATTAACATATGTCTCAGAAGATATTCTAAATAATTTTTGAGCACCAACTAAGGGCTAGATAAACTAACCTTAATTCTGGAGAGCAGGGATAATGCAATCAAATCTAGAGTTGCTTGCTTCCTCAGTCAGGAGATAAAGCCACCTGATTTAAAATACCAAAGATATCCTATAATAGCTAATTCTTGAATTAGAACCCGAGATGTCAGATTTGTGTCATAATACGAAATGCTAATGAAAATCCTTCCTGGGGAATCATTTTCCCTGAGTCTTTTGAGTTTTGCATGTTTTACAAGTAGGAGCACATTTTTTTTTCAAGCCTTGTGTTAAAGATTCTTGAAAAATAAACAGCCTTGAACAATGGAGAAGTGTCTCCCTCCAGAGGGGAGGCTGACCTCTTGCCTTGTCTCACAATGATGGTTTCTTCCCCTAAGTAAAGGTTAAACAGGTTTCTTGACTATAATATTACAAGAGATTTCATTTCCCTAGGCCCAGAGTTCGCAGCTCTGTTGCTGGGTATGGCAATTTGTTTTCATCACGGCTACCATACCCAAGAGACTTAAGGAGAAAGGCACTGCTGGTTGGTTTGCTGTAATAAAGCCATTGTTTCTGACCTTGGAATCTGATGTACTTTTGGACCATCCAGGGAAGAAGTGCTGAAGACAAACTTACTCAGGAAGCTGCAAACAGGATAAATCTCAGACCTTTCACAATTCACCATGCTCAGATCTGCTTTTTTGACAATGAGCTAACAAGCTCCCAACAAAAGCAGTGATTTGAAGATGTAGATGTCATGGAAATGGCATCTGAAGGTAATTGCTTCAATTACCTTGGGAAAAAAATAGACTCTGTAATAATTTCCAATGAGTTGTAACATTTCTAGTAACTCTATCATGTAAATAGGACACTCCATGGTGAATTTTACAGAATTTTCCAACCTGTTCAAGTTTTTCATTTCTAGTCTCTTAAAATAGTAATCATTGTTTCATACAACGTTTAAATCGGAGGCTATTGAGTTTAAATCTGAGGCTATTAATTAAAAATAAAACTAAAAAAAACTTTAAAAGTAGTGGTTACAGGCTTAAAATATTTTCAATGAGAGAAAAAGGGAAAATTGTAATTCTTGTACATATTGCTGTTTTGTAATCTTTGTCATTTTATTTTTCAGTGATTGTCCATTCTGTGTGCATAACCCTCATCCTGGTGGAAAGCCCATATGGACGAAGTTATCTGGCATTTTCCTTATCAAAAAACAAACAAGTCTGAGCGTGGGTGTTCTGTCAATCAGAACGCTTAGCCATGATACAGGCTGTAACTGATGTACAAATCCATTACCCATAAAATGCTTTACCAAAAAAAAAAAAAAAAAGGAAAACAAATTATATAGCTTTATAGCTCTTAGCCGGATGCATGGCCAAAATATGCAAGGGATAAAATATGTATGTGATTTCTTTGAGAGGAAAAATTGAAACCAGGAGCCAACTAGTTCTCAGCAGGGAAAATTATCCTCTGAGTGGCTGCAGCTTCGTGTCTTGTCTTGTTTGTCTTAGTTAGATTGTAAACTGAGTGGGGAAGTGGGAGAATCTGTTCCTTCTGTATTCTATCAGTCAGTACAGAGTATTCCTATTAGTAATCCTATTGAAAATAAGTATCCATTGCAAAGAAAGCAATTCATGCTTATGGAGGAGGGGGGAAGAAATGAATGGAGAATCCAGAAAGCTTGATTCATGGCCTGTTCCATACATGTGTATAAGCTATTACACATTTCTTCTATCTTCTTTTCCAATAAAATGAAACTATCCACTTTCCTTTCCCAGGCCGTGGTGTGAGATTTCATTATACAATACCTGTGAATTTAATTTAGCTCCTTGAAGAGTGGTGTTATATAAACAGCAAATATTATTACCATCATTGGGTTGAGTTGTATAACATTCCCAGTGTTGGAGCCACAAGAATTGAGAAGACTATCCATAGTTTCACTATACTTCATTTCATTAAGAAAAAAATGGTTTTTTTTTCTTTTTATTACCAGAAGTAATACTACTTCATGTTACAATGAAGCTACTCAGTTGCATGCTATACCAGAGAGAAATGTTTGGTGAATTCTAGGCTAATCTAGAATGAGATGGAGCTTCATGTCCTGCCTCAATGCTCATCTTCCCAGAAACCAAAAAGATGCTCCAAAGGGATAAATGCCCTGTGGAACTTTTTGAAAACCTCATTATTATAGAAAATTCTGAAGTTTTAGGCTTATCTTAAATACATCCAAGAAAAAAAAAGGTGGTTTGCAAGTCCACTAGGCCTACCCATAGACACACAGACACACAGACACACAGACACAGACACAGACACACACACACAGACACACACACACACACACACACACACACACACATACCACGAAGGACCTCACAGAGAAATTTTATTGATGGCCCAGCACAAATACCCTTTCCCCCACAGCCAGTTGTGTTCTGACCGACCCAACAAAGGATACTGAAAAGCTAAGCTTGCAAATTCCTTCCAATTCATTAAATAAGGAAGAACACTCAAAAGACTTAAAGTTTTAAAATGTAAAAATTTCCCCAAAGTTAGCTCATTATGAGAGAAACAAAACCATAACTTATATAAGGTTTTAGTATAAAACTTCTGGGTGGCATGATAATCAATTGTTAAGTTTTAGACCATACTCTTTGAGGGTATCCTGGGTCTCTATCATGACTAAAACTAGTCATTTTCTTTGAAAGGTGGAGACTTAAACTGGAATCTCAAAATTTGTCCCATTTGTCCAGTTTTGCAACTCCTTTCTAGATTGAGACAGATATACAGCAGGAAAAAGATAACATTTAGCAAAATTAAAATATAAAACACTGGAATGCTAAATATTATCACTTTTCTAAGTTTAATTTAGTTTTAAACGATGTCACCTTCTATTCTCGGCCATTCAGATAGCTTATCAGAGAACACATTATAGTTTTTTTCTGAATTATTCAGGAGGATAAAAGGAACATAACCCCGCTAATCAAAGATGACATTTACATTATATCCATTGAATATGGGTTCTCATGGAATACAGGTAGCAAGATAAATATGTTCAACTAAAAACCATAGAGCCTAGATACACAACCTACCACCAAGACATGAAGCTTCCTTATTTCAAACAAGACTACTGCTTAAACAAGTATTCCTTGTTTTAGGAGAATATCAGAAATTATCTTCAAAAACTTTGATGAGGACTCAAGGGGAAATGATAGTTTGAACTTAAAATTATTAGGAAAGGAAAAATATGGTTTTGTCAAACCTGCTGTCCCTGTTCCTAGTAAAAATGCAAAATGCAAAAATCCCCTTGCTAAGTTAATAAAAGAAGCACTGTGGATATGAATTTGAAACCCATTGTTTCTACTTAATGATTAAAAACTAAATTAAACTTTTCTGACTGCCATATTTTCTGGCTGGTGACAGACTAGATCGATGGATGGCAAACTGTGGCAATAGGGCAATTCTGCTCAGCAACCTGTTTGTGTAAATAAAGTTTTATTGTGCATAACTTTGCTACATGACATATACGATATTCATATTTGCTATAGTACTATAACATCTTACATCACCAAAGCCAAAGTTATTTAATCTGCTCCTTAATGACCAGTTTCTGATCACTAAAGAAGATGCAATTATTAACAATGAAAACCATCATCATTCAATAGAATTAAAAATTCTCCAATTGGACAAAAGATGAAGAAATAGTAAGTCTAAGATACAAAGTTTCTGTTTGGGCAATTAAAAATATAAAGTCAATTAAACACTCCATTTTCCCTCAAAGACCATAAAACTTTATCCGTCTCTGATCAGTTTATCTTGGATTTTGTGAAGTTTGCAGAAACTCTGGGAAGAGGAACAACACCTTACTCTCTAGTAATTTGGTATAGCATCAGATCCTGATAAATTACATCTGTTGACTTTAGTAAAAACAGCTATTTTGCATAGAGTAGCTTTTACAATTTTGTTGATGAGGAAAAAAAAACTGCAATGAAATCATCACATTCTGCCTTCTGTTAGGAGAGAGAAGCTGCCTCTCTCAGGACTCCATTCTTCACTGTGTAATTTGGCCAGCTCAAAGCAGTCACTCTCAAATACACTGTGGTATTGAGCATGCACTACCAAATTAGAATCTATTCCCAAAGCTCATGATTGACAACAGGCAAGAATATAGGACAACATCACAAGGCAGGCTTCACATTAAGTGACCAAATTCAAGGTGAAACGTCTAGAGCTCCAATTTAATATGCAAACAATGTGGAAAGGGTGAGGGAAATGGGATCATGGATCGAATTCTCCACAGGTAATAAACGTAACACCTTAAGTGCCTACCACAAGGAAATGAATCTCAGTTCCTTAAAAACGTTTCTCAGCACTCAATTGTGTCGGTGCCATTTCTCTTTTAAAAATACCATGCCACATGGGGCTGGGAAGGTGGCTCAGCGGTATAGTGCTTGCCCTGCATACATGAGGCCCTGGGTTCAATTCCTCAGTACCACATAAACACAAAAAGCTGGAAGTGGTGCTGTGGCTCAAGTGGTAGAGTACTAGCCTTGAGCTGAAGAGCCCAGGGACAGGCCCAAGCCTAAGGTTTAAGCCCCATGACTAAAAAAAAAAAAAAAGAAAGAAAGAAAAAAAAATACTATTCCTTAGATTTATATTTCTAACATTGTTGGTTTTATGATCATTACATCTGAATACAGGGATTATGCATTTTATTAAGAGACATTTTAAAATATTGTTGTTTTATTCTTATTTTTTAAAATGTGAAAGAACAGGGACATTTCTTCATATTTTTTAAAATAATACCTTTATTGATGCTTTAGGGTTTTTATTAACTATTAAGTGATTGACATTGGTATTATTATATTAAAAAAACTATAGCACAAGCACTTTTTTTTGTTGTTTGTTTTCGGGTTTTTTTTGTTTTTTTTTTTCCGTCGTGGGGCTTGAACTCTGGGCCTGGGTGCTGTCCCTCAGCTCTTCAGCTCAAGGTGAGCCTCTACCACTTGAGCCACAGCACCCCTTCCAGCTTTTCTGTGTGGTTTTATTGGAGATAAGAGTCTCACGTACTTTTCCTGCCCGAGATGGCTTTGAACTGTGATCCTCAGATCTCAGACCCCTGAGTAGCTAGGATTACAGCATGAGCCATCTGCGCCCGACTTGAATTTTTTTTCCCATAATAAACTATTAGGGACACACACACCTCTCCCTCTCACCCCACCCCGTATTTGAATCCTATTTAGACTTGTAGCATCTGTGGGTCAGAGTGTTGTGAACAGTCACAACTTGTATATGCAGACATAGTTTGTAATTCTTTTTTTTTTTAAAGAAGAAAAAAACATCCAATCTTTCCGAATTGCTGTCATGTTAAACAATGTAACCCTGCCATCTAGTGGCCAGTAGTGGGAATAATGCTGTGGAACGCAGCTCTGATTGCTGGTATAAAACTCTGTTAATTTCTCATGTTTTGTTTTTTCTTGATTAAATACATTATAACATTTTTTATTAAAAATAATAATTTTACAATAAATTATGTATAGTTAACTAAGTGCACATTAACTTGAGGGAATTACCACCCAATTAACTTACTTCTTTACCTGAAATTATCAGAATGACTTAAAATTACTTTATAAACATATACATACATATGTGTGTGTATTAAATAATCATGCTGAGTTCTTGTTTTATCAGACAGGTTGACTAAAATTTGTAATCCTCTTGCCTCATAATTTTTAAGGGGTGAAATTATAGGTGTGATCCATAGGTCTAGCCAAAACCATGCAGTTTATATAATTATCTACATGTACAAATTAAAATTTCAAAAATCTAAAAGAAATAAAACCCTTAAAATAATTCTTTAAAAAACATTGTAGTATATAAAACACAGGTTTCTGCTAGGTGCCAGTGCTAGGTGCCAGTGGCTCACACCTGTAATCCTAGCTACTCAAGAGGCTGAGATCTGAGGATCACAATTCAAGCCAGCCCAGGCACAAAAATCCGTGAGACTCTCATCTCCAATTAATCACCAGAAAATGGGAAGTGGTGCTGTGGCTCAGTGGTAGCACACTCACTTTGAGATGAAGAGCTGAGGGACAGCACCCAGGCCCATGACTAACAAACAAAATAAAACAAAACAAAACAAAAAAAACAAACAAAAAAACAGATTTCTAAAACTCCCTTTCATGCTTTGCAAGTCTTTTTCTTTTTCTTTTTAATCTTGCAGTGCTGAGGATTGAATTCATACTCTCAGATACACTAGGCAAATGCTTTACCATTGTGATCTAGGCTGCCTAACATCTTACCTATATATTTCTGACTTTTCTCTACTTGTCTTACACCACAATTTCACCAAACACTTATAATAACAAAATTGTATCTTTAAAAATAGAAAACACTTCTAGAAAACCATTATTATTTGCACTTCCTGACTGGAGTCATCTGGTAGCTATTTTTCAGATAGACTACACAATGAAACTTGCATTGTGGCCATTTGGTAAATCTTCCTTTTGTTCTCTCTTTGTAGTTTACATTGCATAATGGTTTATAGTAGGAAATGACAAAGCAGTTGATTAAGCAATTGATTCTAATATGAATATATACAATATATTTATAAAAAGGGGTGCTACATTATGTGTAGTATGTAAACATAAGATACAAAGAAATTTATTTTCTTCCTTCCTTCCCTTTCTTTCCTTCCTTCCTTCCTTCCTCCTTTTCCTCCCTCCCTCTCTCTCTCCTACTTCCCTTCCTCCACACCCTTCTTTCTTCCAGGTTAGGTGCTTACTATGAAGACCTATTTGGCCGTGGGACTCACCATCCTCCTGAGTTTTCACTCAACCTCTTAATATTTGCCAGCATGCCTGGTTCAAAGTGACAGTAAGAGGACCAGATATAGCAGCATACCACTGTGATCCCCGTTACTCATGAAACTCAGGTAAGATGACCTAGATTCCAGACCAGCCAGAGCAAAGTTAGCAATAAAACTAGAGTGTAGCTAAAGTCATATAGCACTTGTCTAGGAAGCAGAGGGTCTGAATTTAATCCCTTGTATCAGAAAATAGAGATGGGTGGGAGGAAGAGAGGCAGAGAGACAGAGACAGAGAGACAGAGAGATAGAGAGACAGACACAGACAGAGAGACAGAGAGATAGATACAGAGAGAAGAGAGAATAGAATTAGAAAATACAGATATAAAAGTAAACAATGTTAATCTGGTGAAGCCCATTTATTTATTCCTAAACCCTTAGTCCATTTGTATTTTCCTAAATCCTTATGTCCAAACATATTTTTATCTACACTCACATTTCCCTAACAGACTGTAGGAAGGATTGTCAGTATTCTTTTAAAAACCTGGTGCATTGAATAACTGTGGTATCATCTTGAATCTGCAAAAATGTTGCTTTGCTGCTAGTGAGAAGCATGAAAAATTTGGGGGTTAGATCCACAGTAGAAGATATTGTGTTCTTGTATCTTGTATCTTGTAAATGTATGTGGTTATGGTATTTTCTATCCCTAAAGTTTTTGAAATCTAATTATACATGTTATCATGTACATATGGTAATTGTTAATTGATCGCCAACAATTAAGGTTAACATAAAAACCTAGCATTGACTATTGATGTCACTTCAAACGTGCATCACCAATATTTGAATTCACAATCATAATTTTATCACATTCTCATCTTATGTGGACCTATTTTGTCCCTAAAACTAGTATTTAATTGCCTATAGAGGTAGTAATACAAGAACATTTTGATAGGCTTAAAATAAGAATTTAGCTGCTCTGGAGCTATATAAAGAAAATGTACTCTCTTTCGTATCTTTGTATCTCTTCTCAACTTTTAGATCTGCAATTTCCTCCTCTTTCAATTACCCATAAAATAGAATGTAGTCATGAGTGGGGAAATATTAAATGGAGTGGATCACTAGAAAAATTGCAGTAATTTGGGGAGTTCCTTGTATTAGATGAGAAGGCAAAGAAAATACATATCAAAGTACCCTTGATTACACGATGATAAAGAAAAACAGAGAGGGAAAAATATAGGTAATCCTAAGGTGGTACTTGCAAGGGATCAATATGTTTGTGTTAACCATTACTGCTCAAGGAGCCACCGTTAAATTGCATCCTGGCTTACACATGAACAAGTGCAGGCACTTACTACATTGTTTAATGATAGCAAATGACCAGATTGAGTCATAGTCAAGGGTTATTCTACAGAACTCCACAGTCCTTTCACCAGGCTGCCCTCCTCGATGAAAACGCTTACATTTTCCAGGCCAAGGAGCACAAGAAGTGGGATGGTCGTCATCCCCCCCTGAATCCACTCCTCCAGAGACACCGTGCCATCGTGGTCATAGTCGATTTCTTCCATCATTTCATGGAGGATCTGTGGGACAGACAAGGGAAACGGTGCAAAAGCATGAATCCCATGAATCTCACACCTTCCTCTACATTACACTGACCTGATTGGAACCCATTTTGACTCTTAGCTAAGTGGAGAATTAGGACACATCTCTTGGTAACCCACTACATTAGTCCTGTTAGTGAGAAAAAGTAGTGGCTTAAAAAAAAAAAAAAGATTTTTAAAGGAGGTGGTAACAATGATCGATAGGAACTCATTAAATTACTCATGTAACTGTAACTCCTCTTTGCAGTATCTTTACAATTAACAATATATAAAATGAATAGAAGAATATTATAAACAACTAAAGTAGAAAAAATGATTTCTAGCTACCTAGACCGATCGACTTCTAGAAGTAAGTGTTTAACTTCTTAATATATTTCAAATGAACAGCACAAGTAAAATAAGAACATTAAGAGTTGAAAGAGGGCTTTAATTACTTTCTCAAGATTATTTTTTTAGGTTCATATATATGCCAGAAAATGTCTGAACAAATTAACTTCATGGCAAAGAGCTCAAATAATTCTTTGCTAAGTAGGAACGGGTGAAGGAATTAAGTTGCTTTTAATTGCCTACCAGAACTTAATAGATACAGAAAGTTCAATGATCCAATCATATTTGATTAGATTTTTTTTCTTAGAGATGGTTTGTAGTTAATATCCCAAGCTTTTCTCCCACAGTGCTTGTAAGTGAGTTCATTTCTGTCCCTGTGCTATGGGTAATATCTACACTTACTGCCAAGGGTTGTTGTATGATTCAATGCTGTAATGTATTATAAGTAGAAGACGTCCATATACAGTGCCATAGAGCATTACTTTGGGCGTCATACATTGCCCTTGACTGTTGGAAAGGCAAAGCACTCTTGAATAACAGCACCATGATTGTACGCAGGAGAACTCCAGTGAAGGACCCACTACCTTTATATACTATGCCAGTGTAATCAATTTGGAAAGTAAAACAAATGAAGACAGTACTAGAACAAAATGGGGAAAGGTAACAAGAAATGGAATACACAAAGTGTTTGTGGAAGTTCCCTTTGTCATCTTCAGAGTAACAGACAGATCTAAAAGTTGAAGACAAAGGCTTTGGGGGAAGAGGAAAGAAGAACAATGCTGGGATAATTATGTTGTCATTCTTAAAGAAAAAGGAGACACTGTCAGGCACAGATGATTCCTTCCTGTAACCTTAGCTACTTGAATCTCAGATCTAAGAATTGAGACTTGAAGCCAGCTTTGACAAGAAGGTCCATGAGACTCTGACCCATCAACCAGCAAAAAGCCAAAGTAAAGCTGTGGCTCAAGTAGTAGAGTGACAGCCTTAGGCCAAAAAGCTAAGGGACAGTGCTTAGGCCCTGAGTTCAAAGCCCTAGTATCAGCATGCATGCTCACACATGCATACACACACACACACACACACATTCTTGTTGCTATATAACCCAGAGACTCACTTCAAACTCACGATCTTCCTGCCTTCCTTCTATGGAGTTGTATTGTATGCATCTGTCTTCACACGGGTTGTTAGGTACTGTTTCTTTAAGCAAGTTGGTTGAAAATTCATGTTTGTATCTTTAACTACTTGAAAAGGTTTGGACAAGCAATTGCAACCTATGTGGATCTCTACTGATTCGTCTAAGAAATGACAAAAACCATGTATCTGAGACTCTGAGGTATTAAACAGTGGAAACAGACATCAACCATCACTTCTCTTATGGTGCAAATAACCCTGGCTATGTCTTTCAGCTGCTCCCGCTGACCTTTATTCAGAATACTTTCAGTGAGGAGGAAAGGGAGCATCACATGTGCCCAAGTATCTCATGCAGATTCCATCTTGACTTCTGATGAGTAACTTAGAGATGTCAAATGACAAAACAAAAAACTGATGGTAAATAATTAAGGTTCCCGAAGAGTTTAAAAAATGAAAAGAGTGTTAGAAATTAATCAACAGTCAAATCATTCATATACCTACTGGATTAAGTTCTGTCACATCCCATTCCAGGTACTCTGCCACATGCATCATCTGACCAATGATATTTTCTAGCTCCTGGAGAGGAGAAAAGAGAAAGGGGAAAAGGGGGAGGGGAAGAGGAGAATGGAGGAAGAGAGGAAGGGGGGAAAGAAAGAAGAAAGAGAAAAGGAGGAACACGCATAAGATTGAATTCATCTTTTTTTGTTTTTCAAAAAGTTGCCCAAAAGATTGAGCTTTGTATCAATTTTATATTATCATAAACATATATAATCCTATTTTATATTATCATAAACATATATAATCCTACGTAGATAGCTTATAAACTACACAAGAAAGTATAGCTTTAATATAACTGTGTCTGGTGTTTGAGAAAACTGTAGCAGGAGTGGGCAGCACACCGCTGAGAATGGTTTCCTTCCTTGGAGACATATGCTTAATATCTCTATATGTTCATAGGATGTGATTTTTTTTTAAGTCCAGGAACATCCTGACCTTGTGGCTGGAAAACAGATGTGGGAGGTAGAAGAAACCCTATCAGGGCAACTGAGGGGCTTGTCTGTATTTTTATTTTGTTCTAGTGATATTATGTATTGGGCATCTATCTAGTCATTTACTGAGACAGTTTACCAGTTCAGGGTCAAGGTTTGGAGGCTAAGTGTGTTTATTTTGTAAGACAATTGAATTTTACTTTAGATTTTCGTATTTCTCTTCTCCATTAATAATGCTTTGAAGAACTGTCAGCCAATATATAACTGATAAGTACATAATTGGCTAAGCAAATTAAAATATTTATATATATATATATATATATTTAATATTTTCATGTTTCTCTAGTTCCAGAAAAGATTAAAACTTTTTAAAAAGTTTGTAATTTTAAATATAATTTGTAAACTGCTTTTTAAAATCCAGTTCTGGGGCTTAAACTCAGTCATAAATTTTATCCCTGAGCTTTTATGATCAAGGCTAGTGCTGTACCATTTGAACAATAGCTCCACTTCTGGCTTTTGCTGGTTAATTGGAGATAAGAATCTCATATACTTTCCTGCTTGGGCTGGCTTCCAACCATGATCCCCAGATATCAGCCTCCTGAGTAACTAGGATTACAGGCACAAACCACCAGTGCCCGGCTCAAATATGATTTTTAATTTTAATTAGAATTAATATATCCAAAATCAATATAATCAAAAGGTAGTATCTGATAGTATAACCAAAATTCAAGAAGTGTAAAAGAATAGAGCTTGAAAGTATATTAGTTATAGATCATCTTTTTCAAATCTCTAAATGTGGTTGATACTGATTAAACAGAGTAAAATATAGTAAAAGAGGTTGTCTTCTAGGGAGACAAGAATCTATCTGGGTGACAAGTTTAGGTTATGGTCCTTCTATCCAGAAAAAAAATTGTAATTATAAACTTTTTATTTTTGTAAGCCAGTTTGCCCAGAAAGCACAAATATAATGAATTTATTAAAAACTGGTTACAATTTACAAAATCCTGTGTTACTAATTTCAATCTATTCTATGTAATTTGTATACAACTTACTGGTTCAGGAAGAGCTAAAAATCCCTGGATATATTTTTAAGAATATTTAATTTTCATGAATTATTATACATTAACCTCTCATATTCCAGTTACTCATCAGTAAATTGGATATTCTAAACTTACTAGTTCAAAATTTCTGAAAAGACTCATTACTTTTCATATGAAATATTATTTTTTCCTTAATAGCTGATAACAAATGATCAATAATTTGTTGTTGTTGTTGTTTTGGTCATTGGGGTTTGAAATCAGTGCATGGATGTTGTCCCTGAGCTTTTTCACTCAAGGCTAGCACTCTACCACTTTGAGCCACAGTGCCACTTTTGGTTTTCTGCTAGTTAACTGGTCATAAGAGACTCATGGATTTTCCTGCCTGGGCTGGCTTGATACCTCAGAGATACCTGAGATCGTCAGATCTCAGCCTCCATAGTAGCTAGAATTACAGGCATAAGCCACCAACACCAGGCTTATTAACTCTTATTATGAGACATAGATATCACTTTCCAAACTATCAATTTTATTTGTTTTTCCTCCCAAAGGTTAACTGCAGCACCTTTCATATGTCAAGACATATGACTTCAAAAGATGTTATTGAAGATATTGATGGATTAAAGGCAGTATATTGTGTGGAAAAGATCCTAGAAATTAAATTCAGTTCTTTACCTAGATTAAATTTAGTCCATTTATTCTCATCAATGATCAATATTGGGAAGATAATCACAAATACTGCTGGTAGTATATATGTTACCCCCAAATGGTCAGAGACCAATGAAAACATTTAAATTGAATTTTCAAATCAGCTGTCAACACATGGCTCACAGCCTAGTAGAGAAGAATCATTTTAATTTAATTAAAAAGAAACATTAAACAAAATGTTTAAAATGTGATTTGCATTTGTATAGTTATGTGTGCCAATAAGTATATTGAAATACCTACAAGAAATTTAAATTTGCAACTGGGAAATGGCACCAGAAAATGAGCAAATTTATTATGAACTATTATACTTCTAAATATAAAACCAATTATTAATAGGCAATTAAAATAAAATGTAAAGTATTACTGAGATTTAAACACAAGAAATGCCACAACTACTGCATCAATTGAGAGTGGTACTCCCTTCCTGGACCAGAAATTCTCCCTGGAGAAGGTGATATACCACTATCCTACTCGATATTAAGAAAATATGTCTCCAAATTCATTGCTTTGCTTATAAAAGTCTATCAGAGACCAGAGAAACTGCATGGTAATTGACATGATCAAAAATAGTGTTTACTTTGGGCATTATTAAATATATTAAGCATTTTATTTTTAATAAGTTTTTTTCCTTCCTTCTTTCCTTCCTTCCTTCCTTCCTTCCTTCCTTCCTTCCTTCCTTCCTTCCTTCCTTCCTTCCTTCCTTCCCTCCCTCCCTCCTTCCTTCCTTCCTTCCTTCCTTTTTTTTAAATTTGAAAATACCGTACAGGAAGTGGCACTCTGGCTCTAGAGGTAGAACGTTCGCCTTGAGCTGAAGAGTGGAAGGACAGCACCCAAGCCCAGAGTTCAAGCCCCATGACCGACAAAAAACAAACGGAAATACCATACAGAATACCATACTAAAGTTCAAAAAACGAACTTTAGTAAGTTTTTTTTATTTTGAAAATACTGTACAGAGGGGTTACAATCACATGAGCAAGGTAATGAGTACATTTCTTATCAAGCATTGTTTCCTCCTTCTTTGTTTTCCCCCTACCATCCCTTCCCTCCTATCTCCACAACTAAGTGAACTTTCCCACATGAAACATTTTAGACTCTTGAGGGTTTTTGTTGTTGTTGTTGTTATTCTTATTTCCTTTGAGAGACTAGGAAACAATATAATACCCAAAATACATTATCAGCAAGTATAAAGTCGATTATTGGTTAAACCCTGACATAGACCAACATTTGAGATACTGATGTATTCACTAGAACTGAATATTTTGAATTACCTGAAAAGTATCAATGATTTCCATATATTGCAAATAAAATAAATATGTAATTATGTCTTTAAGTTAATCATACTTCCATTAAAAATTTAAATGGTACAATCAGCATATAAATTGGCACATAAAATAGGATATTTTGAAAAGAGAAGTTTGCCAGATCAATACAAAATATATATATATTTATGTATTTGAACAGTATACGTGGGACTATAGATAATCTTTTGTATGCAAATCCTGGGGCTTGAACTTAACTGCTGGGCTAGTTTGGAACCAGACTCCTGAGATCTCAGCCTTTTGAGTAACTTGTATTGGTTACTCATGAAACACTGGTTACCAGTTAAATCTACTTTTTAAAAAGAGACAAATAGTGAATTAAAATAATAAATTCTTTGACTCTTACTTGTATTTCTCCCTATTTTCCTTAGTACCAAATCCCACTATTTATCTTTCTAGATAAATAGTTTCAAGTTTGTTTTTTTTCTTTATTCAGGCAACACTCAAGTCCTTTTTTAAAATCTTAGTGAAGATAAAAATAAAAACGTCATATTTTTGTAGTAAAACCATTCAATAGAACGATCACAATTCTATCTTCTCAGACTACTCTTTTTCACAAAGTCAAATGATAAAAATGCCATGGGAGTGGATGCAAATTATATTAAGTGTGCTTTCTCTGGTAATAGCTTTAAATTTATGCATTGCCTTTCTCTGAAGAAATGACTTTGAAATTTTCACAGAATATTTGAAGGAAAAAAAAATTACCGAGCTGTCCAGGAAGCCGTTCCCATCGGAGTCATAAAGACGAAACATAACTAGGATAAAAGAGGCATTGAAAGAAACAGATTACAAATGAACCAGGCCAATGTTAGCTTATGACACACACTTTAAAATTTAATTTCTACTGAAAACAAACACTAAAATAGCCCTTGTTCAAAGCAGTTGTTATTCTGTAAGATCATATCTCAATTCATGCTAATCTGAATTACTCAGTTTACAAAAATACTGGATATCAGAAATAAAGTCTGTCAAACTTGACTTATTTATTATTAGATTATGGACCTATAAACTCAAATATGACAACAGTAGTTAAAACAATATGGCTTAGTTACTAGTGCAAAATGGAGATGATATAGAGTTTTATTAATTGGAATTTGAAATCCATCATCTACTATTACTATATTATTGTCAAACATTTTTTTAACCTATAAAATGAGAGTATCACCGTGCATGGGATTTCCATTTTCTATAGCCAGCATACAGCACATACCAGAAGCCACAGAAATGCCTTTGTTAGGATGAATACTCAAACACTGGGGGAGAATAAAATGGAATGTGATGTAATGGATTCTCGATGATGGCTGATGCCAACACAAAATATATTGTTTACGTGGTTATAACTGTCTGCTCAGATCTTAGGGGAATGATATAACCAATCATATAATGCAATAGAGACTGGGAGCTCTGTATGTAGCAGCTCATGAAAGAAAGAACCAGTAACCAGCTCAAGAATTTCTCTGTATAATTCACAGACCCGTTCATAGCTGTGGAAAATGTTGCAGGTGCACTCTTCAGATAAACAGGACCTGGCTATAAAAAAATGAAGGTGTGGATATGATGGAGCATTTGGGGTTTGTATAAGTTCCTGCAGGATCTTGAGGTCGAGTATGGTAGCACACATTCATAACTATGTGGCAAAATTATAGACTCCACTTGATCACATAGTTGTAGTGAATGGTACAATTGTTATCCTTGTACTCGATTATTATATTTCACGAATTTTGACATTATTATTTATAAGACACAAAATTAATTTGGTCTTCAATTTTTAAATTTAAGACAGATTTTTAAATGTTGCCAACTTAATTATTGCTATAGGGTGTTATTTTTTAAAGACACAATGATATCCTGAAGATGTAAAATGGTAAGTGGGAATTGTGTATCTTTTGAAATAAAGGAAAAATGTTAGATAAATTAGAAGATCTTAAATATTTTTTCTTTCCTTCTTTCTTTCTTTCTTCCTTTTTTTTTTTTGTACAAACCATGGGGTTCATTCCCTCTCACATCTTCATTCAGTAATAATAGAATGCAGAATGTGGATACTAATCATTGTGACATTTTCTAGTGTAGCATAAAAGGGTGAAAAGTCATAACTTTGTAAGGAGCAAGAATTCACATCATACTCAGAAAAGGTTTTTACAATAGGAACAAGGCAAAGCCTCAAGTAAACGTAAGTATGTTTTAGAACAAGGGACAACTCTGTCAATCCTTACTGGTATACATGTGAAATCGTCTCATATAGATCAGGTGTAAAAGCCTTGTGCTCTCCCTAAGTAGATGGAAGAGCCAGGGAGTTCTTGTCAATTAAAAGAAAGATTAAAAATAGGAAATAAGTAGAAAAGCAGATAAGGTTATTGCTCAGAGAAATGTTCTCTGCGCCATGAAGTATAAAAAATAATTTTAGCCGGGTGCTGGTGGCTCACGCCTGTAATCCTAGCTACTCAGGAGGCTGAGATCTGAGGATCGCGGTTCAAAGCCAGCCTGGGCAGGAGAGACCGTGAGACTCCTATCTCCAATAAACCACCAGAAAACCGGAAGTGGCGCTGTAGCTCAAGTGGTAGAGCGCTCGCCTTGAGCTGAAGAGCTGAGGGACAGCGCCCAGGCCCAGAGTTCAAGCCCCACGACCGATTAAAAAAAAAAAATTAAAAATAGGGAAAAATTCATCACAGATGTAAAATACCCTGGAGGGTTGAAGCATACAAAAAAATGAAAAGAAGGTAGAGAAAGAGAAAAGGAAGGGATATAAGGGAAGGAGGGGGAAGGAGAAGGGAGAGGAATGGGAAGGGAGAGGAAGGGGAAGAAAGGAAAGGAAAGGGAGGGGAGGGGAGGGGAAGAGAGAAAAGGGATGGGAGGAGGGAAATGAAGGAAATAAATTAGTTTTGATATTCAATGTCCATATAATACTGGATATAGAAAGATAGAACAGGTGAAAGGTAGAGTGAGGATACTTTTCAATGAGAAGATCAAAAAGTATATGAAAAGCACAGTATCCAAGTCAAAATTTATTGTGAAAACACTGAGATTTGAATAGTTATAGGATTAAAGAAAACTAATCACATAATGGAAAAATAATAATTCAATACTTAACTCTATGGAAAATGATGTGTTTGGTCTACAAACCTATAAATATGTTCCCTCTGTAATTACATTTATAAGTAATTTTGATATGCATATTATTGGCAATGTCATGATAAAACCCAATTTCTTTTTTTTAATTGTGAAAATACTGTACAGAGGGGTTACAATTACATGGGCAAGATAATGAATATGTTTCTTATCAAGCATTGTAGCCTCCTCCTTTGTTTCCCCTTCCCATCCCTTCCCATCCTCCCCCCCCACCCCCCACCCCCCCACCCAATCCTCCCCGCCTCCCCCGTCCCCCGCTCCACACCAAAGTTGTAAAGTTCATAAAACCCAATTTCTATATACAATGTAATGTACACCAAGAAACAAAATTAAAAGTAAAGTTAAAATAACAAATAATATTGATGAAATCAAACAATAAATTTTCAAATGTGTTAAGACTTTCTTCTCAAAATTAAAAGTAAAGGCAGGCCCAAGTTCAAGTGAACCATTGAACAAGTCGGTGTTATTTTTGAAATTAATAGATGTTAATAAATGCTTAGGTGCCAAAATAAAATAATCTCAGTATGAAAAGTATTTATCAACTTCATGGCTTCCAAATGGGGATAACTGCTACAAAGTTACAAGCTAGCTTAACTCACATTTTTTTTTCTTTTTTATGCTCATGTAATTTGACTTTATATAGAACAATTATGTGCCCACACATGTACTTAGTTAAAAGGTCAGAATCAAAGCAAATTATGCAAGATAAGGGAAGTATTTCTATCCTTATTTTTTTCCTTCCAAAAGATTTGAAAACTTCCTGTCTTTCTACTTTTTTAGCTTTATCATTGAATATCTTGTCAGGTATACAGTATTGCATTTATATTTTCTATAACATTATCAATATGAACATACTAGTATAGAATTTGCTGTTACACACAAAGAAGCATATCATTTAGAGGAATTTAAATGGAAATTTCTTTAGTGCCCATTTGTGTGTGCTTTAGTGTTACACATATTTCAAATCTTACATAACAAATTCTAAAGGCAGAATTGGAGAAGTTGCTTGCTTTTTGTTTTCTCTATCCATTGTAAAATGAAGGAATGCTTTCTCTTTTCTTCCCTCAGAGGAGATATAATAATAAAAACCATAAATGACAACTTTTCAAGACAAAAGTAATGTGGGACTTGAAAGGACTTTACAATAAATCCTTAATAACACTCCAAAAAGTACAGCAGTGGGCCTAACATTTGGAGAGCAAATCACTCTATCATGTTGTCATCTACTCATGGAGATGCCTGATAATCGATGTCAACAGGAGAGAAAAAAATGGAATCCTTCACAACCCCAGCACACATGGGGTGTGTAAAAACATATACTTCTCTACCTAAGATCCTCAAGGAAGACAAAGATGACAGATTAGGTTAAGGGAAGTAAATTGAAGAAATGTCTCATCATAGGTGAATTCAGGATGGTTAATTTATTTTTTGTTCAAGGAGATGAACTTTATACTAAACCTTGTGTAAATACCTAGCTGAAGAGACTAAATTGAAAAACAGGAAATGTCAGAAGGTATACATAGATTTATAAAGTATTATTTTGCTAGAAAAGGTGTTTCTTTCATGAATATTAACAATGTGTTTATTATTTTACCTAACACTTCAGGTAAAAGAATCTCATAAATACTGCTACTATTTATCAGTTCCAAGAAAAGCAATCATTTCAGATGAATTGTGTATATGTGGGTACATGGTGGGATTCACTAGACACAAGAAATTTTGCTAAGCCAATGAATCCTTTAATATGGCCCCTGAATAAATAGGGAACAGTGTGGCATGCAACCTGATAGGAATGCACATCCTCAGGCCATGCTTCAGACTGCTGAATGACAGGCCCGAGGTAAGGCCTGTAGCAAACTGTGTGCTTTCAGCCCTCCTGGAGACCCTGATGAGCTATGAAGTCTAGGAAACTATGATTTAAACTAATGGATATGTGTTCCTTTCTGCTTAGCTCCCTGAAAGAGAGATCCAAGCTCACTGATCATTGCCTGAACAAGTTAAATGTTTTAAATGCATTATCACCCCTATTTTTGTGCATAGTAATTGCTGTTTCTTCTTTTATCATTCTCACTTTCATTGTGTTTAATAAGTAATAATCTTATGAAAGTTAGTATGTATTAAACTAAGCACTGTTCTAAGAATCTTAGAGAGCATTGTTTTTAAAAATGATTCACAATCTGACTTGTTGAATTGAAACCCCTCTGTACAACGGCTTACAATAAAATTTTTATAAAAAGTAGACATGTAGGCCTAGTTCAACTGGTAAGAATGCTAGCATAGCAAGTTTGTGGTTCTATGTTCAAATCCCAGTATCACACATACACACACACACAAAAAAGGAGAGAGAGGGTGGGGAGGGAGGGAGGAAAGGAGGGTGGAAGGGTGGGCGAGAGGGAGAAAGGAAAGAAAGAGGGAAAGAGAGAAAGGAGAAAAGAGAAAGAAAATCTTTAAGGTAGAATACATGAGTAAGAATATGCAAATGTTAAGAATTTGTAAATGTGAATTTGTAGAAAGGTAAATACGCTAAATTGCTAAGAAAGTGATAGAAGGAAAAAAAGATTCTTATTTATAAATGTGGTAAAGAATAAGGCATAGGCATTAAAAAAGACCCTAGTTCTGATGATTTTGATACTGTAGCTAGAGTACTGAACACCATCTCAGGACAGCAGAGATTAAAATTAGAGTATCATCTACTTTAAGGAGTCTGATGAAAACTAAAACAATAATAATAACAGGATATTCAAATCTGGAGGCATGGTTTAACTAAAGATGAATCTGATGAGAGCAGAAAAATAGATGGAAAACTCAATGAATAAAGGGGGGTACAGAAGGGCACCTGGCAGGGTCATTTGACTTGATTCCTCAAGTGATTTTGGATTGTGAGTTACCATTCTTCCTGAAATCATGCACAAAGACCAGGCTGGTTAAGAATTCAAACAGAAAGCCAAAAATCCTAGTTCTTAGGAATTTCACCTAAAGAGCAACATAAGACTTATTATCCTGTAAGTAATTAAATTGCAACAGCAAAGGCCAATTGGGGAAAGGTTTATGATGACTTTGTTAATTCTCAGATCTGGGAAAAAAGTATTCAGCTTTATATCTTTGTAATCTCCCAAATATGGTCCAGATAACACCTGAGCAAACTTTCCTTCTGGCCCATACATCAGTATAAATTCATTGAACATTAATATTTATTTTGGAAGGAGAGAGATTTCTGCAGTTCTTAGGGATACAAAATAAATCTTGAAATGCAAATATTCAAAATTTATGAATAATAAATATACTTAAAGAATGATGTTTATATGATTTATTCATAACCTAAGCAGGTGTGACTGACATGATCATATTATGGTAAATTCCTTATTGGTCAGAAAAATATCTCAAAAAGTTACTACGAAGTGCAACTCAAAAAGAGTCTTTTTTCTTCTTTTTTTATTGGTCATGAGGCCTGAACTCTGGGCCTGGGTGCTGTCTCTCTGATCTTCAGCTCAAGATTAGCACTCTACCACTTGAGCCACAGCACCACTTCTGGCTTTTTCTGTTTATGTGGTGCTGAGGAATCGACCCCAGGGCCTCATGCATGCAAGGCAAGCACTCTACCACTGAGCCACCTTCCCAGCCCCCTAAAAAAGTGTCTTAATCTTAATTCTGAAATATTACAGTTTTATATTTGTTTTAGAATTATTAAAGTTTGAATTCATTATATTCACTATCATTTTAGTAGCAAAAGCATTTAAATTCTAATGTGATCAGGTTAATCTGATTATTGAAGAAACTCTCAGCACTAACCAAGAGCTTAGAGGAGAGAACGGATTATCAAATTATCAGATTTAGAATAAATGAAAAATATTGTCTTGAATTGTAGTGAGTATAGATTGCCACCAGAGAGTGCTCAGTCTCCATACTTAATAATAGAGAATAAGTCAATGCTTTCAACTAAAATTCTCTGACTTTCTCACCTTAGAGAAAATAAAGGTATTGTTTAATTTCTTAAATAATATTCAGAACTTTTAATTATGTGTGTGTGTGTGTGTGTGTGTGTGTGTGTGTGTGTGTGTGTGTGCTGAGAACTCTCAACTTTGGCCTTAGAGAAAGAATCTCTGCCAGATTGGTGCTTCCTGGGGAGAAGGGGCTTCACCTTAGGAGAAGGTTACAGTCTGTATGAGGACAAGGAACTTCCTTGGGTAGTAGTGGGAAGGCCTCTCCTCACAAACAAATACTTTCACAAAATAATTCAATGGATAATTGCCAATAGCATCTGCATATTTCTAACTTTAAAAAAACCCTGTGGCGTTAAGAAAAAATCTTATAAAAAAATTGGCTTAAATATAATCATAGTCAATTGAACTTGGCAATAATGTAAAGTTGATAGATCTCAACATGCTTTGCCTGCCTCAGAAGGAGGAATTGTTCTAGTTAAACAGTCACTGACTTTAGCATACATTTTGGACACTTGCAGTGAGTGCCATTTACGTGTGTCAATATGCACCCCTCTATATCAACCCCCAGCGTAGCTCAGTAAATTAAATAAACAAATGCATACACTCCAGCTTATCTTCCGGCCTTCCTCTTTCCAGGAGAGACAGGTAGCAGACAATGTCCTTCAGGTGGATAACTTCCGGGGAACATGTATTTGCTGGGGAACTTCGGGGAGGAGTGATGGCTCCTTTATTCATTCTCAGACCTGGAAAAGAGCATTTGTCTCTGTATTTTTTTTTTTTAAAGACAGCCCCTAGCTTTCAAACATGAAATGAATTAAGAAAGTAGACAGATAACACACAGGCAATGTAAATACCTACATACAAATTCTCTGGATTTCCACCATACGGAAGAGTCACACAGATCCTACAAGTGATACAAATTAGAGTATTCTTTGGGAAATAGGGATATGGGGCTGAGCTGCTGGCCACTGGAGGCATCCCAGCCGAATCTTATTGGGCAGGGTGAGTTGGTAACACAGAGTTAATGCATGAAGGCCAACTGTCTAATCCACCTTACTGTGTGTTAGTCAATGACAGATATAAATTGGCTGGAAAGATGCTAAAAATCTGTCTTTCATGATAAACTGAAGAAGAAATATGAGTCTGCCACACTGTGATTTATATACTTGATAATAACTATTCATTCACCAAAAATAAAGAGTTTATGTCAAATATTTGGCAACACTATAAAAAGAGAGCTTTGCTGCCATCAAAGAAATTGTCAATTAGTAAGAGTGAAGGAAACATAAAAGTCTAGATTAATATGATACACATTTAATTAGGAAGTAAATATGAATACTGTATCATGATTTTTAAATATGATCCTCACTATACTTCTAGAAAGTGAGTACTTATCCTGATGCAAGACAGAGAACAATTATAAAGATCAGGACTTAAGTGCCTGTTATGACTGAAGCTTGCTCACAATGCGTTTTTACTTACGGAGAACTGAAAGTAAACCCTATTTATACTCTCTGGTACCTCTGGCATCAAAAGAGGTTTCAGATGAGATTACTGAGTGGCCATGGGCTTTTCATTCAATTTAAGCCTATGAAAATGAAGAGGTTAGGCCCAAAGATAGTTTGCAAGTTTGTGCTGCTTGAGCACAGATGCACTTGACTTCATCCCTTCTAGGCAATCTACTTGTTTCTGTGTATAAGTTTCTTTGGTGCCAATTATCTTATCCAGCCATCTCAAAGTACTCAGGAAAATAATTTAATACTTGATGAAAGCCTTTAGCTTTCTCATTACCAGGGTTAATCCTTGTGACACTTCTTTTTTGCAGTGTGTGATATAACATAGTATACTACATGCTATATAATAATAATACATATAATACACAATAATATAACATCTTAGTTGGACCTGTAGTACATATTTAAGTCTCATACTAAACTGTAAGATTGATTGAGTATTTTACATTTACAGCTGAATCAGGCTCCTAAGTAACAGTGTCCCAGAGTTTCATGGTAGCAAGGTAAATTCATACAATACTTTTCCTAATAACTTGTAGAGTCATTTTTTTCTTCAAGGCCATTAATAAGTGGAAGGTTACAGATTAATTTACACTAAAAGTCATCAGACACATACATGCATGCACATCCTTAGTGGGTTTCCAGATGTTCCAACATTATTTCTATCTTAATTTACTGCCATTTTATCCTATTTAATTTCATTCTTAAGAGTTTGTCAAGCCTTTTAAGTTGTAAAATACTGCTATTCATCCTCCTTGTATTTTCTTTATCCAACCCTGGCTTCAAATATATCCTTACTTTTCATATTAATTCTACTTCTGCTTACACTTATGAACAAATATAGACAGTCAGACAGACAGACAAACAGACAGACAGAAAGACAGACAGACAGACAGACAGACAGACAGACAGACAGACAGACAGACAGACAGACAGACAGACAGACAGATAGATAGATAGATAGATAGATAATGAGTTTTTCTTTACTATAGATGTATCAATGTTTAGCTAATACAAAGTAATAGTTATTTTTAAAGGAGGCAGACAAAAATAATCTTGAGCCTTAATATAAATCCCAAGTAACTTCAACTAAATAATTCCAACTAAAGCTTAACAGCTGCAGGAACAAGAAGTTCCAACTTTTAATAAAAAATATTTTGGCTCTGACCCTTGACATGACCATAACTTTCAGACTTAGAGAACACAGCCCTTGAATTACGGTTGGATAAACTATGACCTAACCCAGCCTGCCTGGTGAGCTCATCCATCCTCTTAAGGTTTCTTCCAAGGTACTAAAGTGATATAATCAGCTCAATATAACCATTTAATATAAAAATCTCACAATAAAACTAGGATAATAGGAAAGAATATGTTGCCTCATTTCATCAGAAAAAAGATAAGACAATTTGTGCTTATAAATCTAAGGTACATAGTGCATGATTTCCTAATACCATATTGAGCATAAATAAACAGGGAATGTAAGAATCATATAATTTTCTGTTCATATTTCCTGTATGTAAGACATATATTGAGCAGGTCAATACACATATATTTGTCATCACTTTTTTGTGGGAAAATATATTTAGTCACTCTTTTGCATTTCCCTTCTTAGTGCAAATTTATTAGCTAAAAGCTATAATATGTGTTCAATGTTCATACTTTTACATTTAAAATTCTTAAAGTTTACTTTAAAAGAAATGGTCCTATATCCAGTTCATACACTGTAAAACTGGACTTTCTGAAATTTCGACTCTTCCAAATTAGACTCTTCCAAAAATCTAATTGTAGCCAAATTTGGTAGGTAAAATAAATACTGTTTATAATGGTTTGTAGGCTATATCAAAGAAAAAGATAAATTATTTTCACAATTATTTTTAACAAAAAATGTAGAACTAGTCTTTGTTAATGTTTTATGACCAATTTTTAGAGACATTTATTTTTCATAGCAAACTTGAGAAAGGCGTAGAAATTTCTTAAATTCAGAGTTTCCTCATGCATGCTCATCTTCATTCCCTACATCTATTTACATTTGGTGCAAGTGATGAACCTACATTAAACACCATTGTTATCCAAACTCCACAATCTATATGAGATTAAAATGTGCTGAATGAAAGCCAAGTGCCGGTGGCTCACACCTGTAATTCTAGCTACTCAGGAGGCTGAGATCTGAGGCTTGCGGTTCAAAGCCAGCCCAGGCAGGAAAGTCCGTGAGATCCTTATATCCAATTAAACCACTAAGAAAACCTGATGTGGTGCAGTGGCTCAAGTGGTAGAGCAAGCACCTTGGGCCGAAAAGCTGAGGGACAGAGCCCAGATCCAGAGTTCAAGCCCCATGACTAACAAAAATAAAAAAATAAATAATAATAAATAAAACCCAGAAAACAAAAAATGTGCTTTAGGAGTCTGAATCAGTGTGCTAGCATTATAAGATACCAATCAATTTTATGGTCCTAAAAATCTGTGCTCTGCTTATTCATCATCCGCTAACAACCAATTAAATATTTTTTCTTCCTTATTATGCCTTTTCCAATTTGTCTCTGTGTGTGTGTGTGTGTGTGTGTGTGTGTGTGTGTGTGTGTGTGTGTGTGTATGTGCGAGCGCGCGCGTGTACACGTGCACTAGGGCGCTTGGAACCAGTCCTAGGCCTTGAACTTAGAGCCTGCGCACTGTCCCTGAGCTTTTTTGCTCAAGACAAGAGCTCTTAAGATTCAGCTCTACTTCTGACTTTTTGACAATTAATTGGAGATACTTTCCACTCAGGCTGGCTTTGAAACATGAATATAAGATCTCAGCCTTCTGAATATCTGGTGGCAAGAGGCACCAGCATCAGGTAAAAATATTTTATGTTTGCTTTTTTAAATTGAAGTCAGAGAGACTATAGCTTTTTAAAATTGGTTTATTTCACTCAGTAATATGCAACTATGACCTCAATGTCTTTTACTAGGTCGATCATTTCCTTTCACCACTAACATTCCATACTGTAGATGTAGTCTTCCTTATTCATTCAATTCTCTGACTTTATTAAATTCTAAGATGATAAATTGGAAAGTCTTCCTGTTCCCACAGCCCTCCCCAAGATCAGCCTACTTCCTCAGGACATGAAAATGTTTCTTCATATTTTCATTTTGTTTCTTTTGACAGCAGGCCTTAGGCCTCAATCTCTCTTTTAAAAGGTTATTTTGCACCCTTTTCTACCCTTTAGAATATTTTGTATTTTTTTCTATATCTGTCTGGAGATGTTTTTCCCCTAAACTTTCACTGTGATCCATTAGATTGCACTGATTAAAAGTTCTTTAAAGTAGCTTGTGCAGGTAATTACTAAGCAGCACAGAAGACAGCATATGGAGGGTAAGAAAGTGAAGTCTGCTGTCTTGACTGCAGCTCCTCAATTAGATGCTAAGTGGAACCCTACATTGCTCATCAGCAGTAATATTCTTTGATGAAGAGGCTCAACACTGTATTTCCCTTTAATAAGGAACATTTTGCTCATTTAATCACTGGTGAAATTCTTTGTAGAACTGAAAGTGAATTTGAAGCTAGGCAAACAATAGGTGTTTTTCCTTGTTGATTTTTGTTGTTGTTTGTTTTGTTTTGCCTCATGGTTATATTTAGTTCTAAAGGTGATGTGTTTAATTGATATGCAATTTGCAAGTTCTCTCATTTGCCTCAAGTTACACTACTTTAAATATTTTGTCACATGACTGAAGTAAAAGTGCATAGACAAACACAATATGGACACATCTATACATATCTATATCTATATGATTGTATAATATACAACTAAGTGTAAAATAGTTTAATTAAGCCTGAAATTCAAGTGCATTATTTTTATTAGTAATAAGTACTTTCTAATCCAAGAACATTTTTCTGTTGCTAAGACATGTATATAGGTATACACATACATATGCATATACTAACTCTCAAATTTTTGAGAATCACATCAAAATCTAATGTGCCTATACTAGTCATATTCTTCAAGCCCATGATTTCCCCATTATGCCTTAAACAAGCTTAAAACTAGCTTTTTTTAAAACAAGCTTAAAAGTTTTGTTCTAATATACAATCTTAAATTCTGGTGTCAAGTCTCAATTATTAATAAATAAGTTTTGAATATACATTAATTAATGCTGTGCCACATCTGTTTCTGATCATGAGCATGGCAGCATGATTGGTGCTATTTCCTTTTATCTCTTAAAATTAAATATGGAAAAAGTAATAACATGGAGCAC